GAACCCTGAAAAGTAGATGATCTGCCAACTTGTTTACCTTTATAATTTTTTTTTTGGTAAAGGGGATGAAAGTATTTTTAAAAATCATTTTAAATAAATTTTTAAGAAAAAATTTCTTTACAGTGCATGAATTTTTCTAAATTCAGTGTTTTTATTTTTAGTTTATCTTTAATTTTAATTTTTTTAATATATTCTTAATTATAAAACATTATGTATTTAATTTATTTAAACTTATAATAATAATAATAATTTCCTAAAATTTAGCAAATTTAAAAATATTCATGCAGCATACTTTAAACTTTTTATTCAAAAAATATTTTAATTTAATAAGATTCCAGCAATACAAGAAAAAATATTCACTAGTTCTGTCAATTTATCGATACTCAGCAAAATTTTATTGTAATTTCATGATAGGGGACCCAGTTTAAGGTATTTTTTAAATTATTATTTAAAAATAAAAACAATGTATTAATTTGAGGTAATTTTAATAATGTGACAAACTATCCTACTACTTTGTTTACACGTATGTTTTGCCTATGACAGGCAAATGCATAACAATTTAATAATATATAATAATAAGAAAGAATGATAGATTTCGCCTCTCACCCATAACTTGTGTGACACGTGTAGGGGCAGTTTCGCTCCCACATCATGCAAAACTTGAAAAATATTATTATTTCTTTATGAATGTTTATTAAATTCATTAAAAATTATAAAAAAATTACATTTATTATATTAAAATTATAAAAATATTATAAATACATCTGTTTTAATAAAATTGTACTATTGTTTATCTTTATTTCCGAGAAAACCCTTTATTTATTTGGGGTGACCTATTCTCTGGTTTTCTGAAGCATTTGAAGGCTTTAAGCTTTGAGAATTCACGTACGTGGCAAGAATATAATGGATATGATATACTTAAGCACACAAGATGAATAAGGATTCAAATAGAATAGTGAATGAGTTGAACAATTAATCTCTCAGTAATGGACGCAAAGTAAATGAATATGATGACATATAGTACTCTTATTTGCAGTTTTCTATGTTTGGTGTGTTTCAACTTTGTTATTGGCAAAACAAGTGTGTAAAAAGATAATAAGGTGCAAAATAAATCTATTGTGTTTATCACTACCCTAACTCCCACTACTACCAATCTTGTTTCTCTCTCTCTCTGTCTCCCCCTCTCTCTTCCTTGACCTCAAAACGAGACTCTACTTTCGAAGCCCACAACTCGACAATTGATCTTGCATTTCACCACAGACAAAGCTTAAAGAATGTTGGAGAAGAATAATACTATTTTCTGAAATTTTCTTAGTAGAATGGAAAATAGGAGTTATTTGAAAGTTAGCCCTTCAGCATTAAAAATTTAAAACTTGCGTAGTCTTTATCCTTAATTCCATTACCAGTACTGTTATGCATGGAACTCGAGATAGAATGGTTTGTTGCAAGCGTGAACTTTGTCAAGTTGTAATAAAATATATTGTCTATACAGAAATTATACGGTCAACTATCAAATATTTATAATATAATTATCTAATTAAATTCAATTGAATTAATCAACGAAGGTACATAGGAAACACAAAATTGAGACAAATAGATAAAAAAATATTTAGTGGGTAGAAATCAATCAATATTCAGGAGAGACTACTAAAGATTAGAATAACCATAATGCGAAGTGACAAATTTATAAAAGGTAACCCTTATGTCAAACTTTGCATGATTTATTCTGAAGGAAAATTTATTATTTCTTTCTAGAATTTAATAACATATTTTACTCATCTAACAACAAAATCATTAAATTTTGTGATATCCCAATTGAAAACATCAAGAGACCTAATTGACTTTTGTGAATCAAAATCTCATGTTTAATTTGAGAATTTAAAAAATTAAGCTACACATTTAAGTTCTTGCTCTAATATCTTTAATCATGTGAATAAAAGTCTAACGAATCCAAAAAGCACTAAGAACAACTTAAGTTAAATAAAAATCCATCAAATATTTACAAAAAGTAAAAAAGAGTTGGAGCGGCTTTGTTAATTCTACGTTGGGCTAGTATAATTGCTAAAATAATGAAACTACTAATCCATGTTTAGGTTAAAAGCCATAATCATCAATCTAAATGTAGGGTAACAAGAACAATGAAACAATTAGAGAAGAAAGAATAATAATTCTAGTTGGTCTAGGCCCAAAAGTAATCGTCCAAAATAGAAAACATTAGTTTATCAAGCCACGAAAGAAACCATCTGGCTAAAGATAACTACTAGACAAAATCTTTATGCCTCACTGCCTTCCGCTATTCTAGCATTAAACCTAAACACTACTCAGTCGAGAAACACCGGCAAGCTGTGTTTCTCTCAGCCTTGACCTAATTTTCACTTTATTGGCTCTAAGATGCTTTCATGATTTCTTTTTCTGCCTTAGATATTCAATTCTTCAAAATTTTGCTTTCGTAATCAACTTACCCACATTCTAAACATGCAACATAAAAAAAAAAAAAACTAAAACAAATGAAGTGCAAGATAAAACTAAGCAAAGATGCCTGACTACTATATGCAATTTACATGTTAAATCAGGTAAAAATCATGTATATAATATGCAAACATCATAGAACTTCAAATTTATCTTTAACATAATGTTCTAAATATTTTGATGAGCATTGGTAATTTAGAATATGTTGAATTAATGTTATGTACTATAAGCATTTAAGATCCTATATTATTACCTAAATCTATCCTAATGTGAGATAAGCACGACTAAAGACAAGCGTACGTGTTGGTGTCCTTCAAAAACGAGAAAGGAGAAAGCAAGAGTGAGAAAGATTGTGGAAACGGGAGAATTAGGAAAAGAATTGGATAGGTTAAGGTTCAAGCAATTTAAGGAGATCATGAAGATGATCTAAACCCAAGCGTAGGGGGTAGAGAATTTTTATGATCATTTCTAATTATAATATCATATCATTATATTTGTTCTTGTGTATGACATCATTTTACCTTCATTAGGAAGGTTCAAACATATCTATCATAAACCTCCACATTTTATTATTCTTATTAGTATATTTAGTACCATTGTGCATTACATGTCAAATAAATTGATGAAGAAAAGCCTGAGAAGTCCACAACCTGCTTCATGGAACATTTCATGATCATGGTGCCTCAAAGCTTTCTAAAATTATTAAACAGAATGAATCATGATGGCCTTGTAGCGGAGACACGGAAATGGTTTGAATACAAAATAGGTGACAATAACTCCTTCCCCTTCCTTGATATTTCCTTGGATTTTCTTCATTCCAACAATGCTCAATCCATTTTCTAGATGATATAAAGACCCAAAAATGTGGTTTCAATCAAACAATCTATATACCTAAAGTGGCCATTGTGAGGGTTTTGTGGTTTCCAAGCTTCGAGCTTAGCCGCCATACCAAAAATTCAAACTTAAGCTTAAAAACATAAATAGGAGGAAAACTTCATAAATAGAATCAAACTTGAGTTTCAACCCTTTAATGAAAAAAATGAAAATTTCAATCTCGATACAAACATATAAACTCAATGGGAAGAACATGCAAAATATAAAATAAGGTAGGAGGAGATGCATTTTCTTACTATCCTTAGCAAGTTGATCACTTAACGTGTGCTTATCTTCTACTTTTTTTTCTGAATTCCCCCTTTACTCTCTATTCTTCTGTAGTTTGTACGAGTCTCCTTCTCCCATATAACACACAATTTCTATTTATCTTAACTTAATATCTATTAAGAAACATAACAATAATAATAATTAAATATTTAACTACTTAAGTTTTATGTCACGTTCTAAATTACCAATCTCATCTAAATATTGAGGAAATTATATATGTTTTAAATAAACTTTAAGGTTTTTTCCTCTAATTCCTTATATAACAGTGCTGGCAACAAAATAAAAGATAAAATAATGTATGATTTTAGATGGAAAAATTAGAACATAAATATGTGATTATCTGATATTTTATTTTTAATTCAAAAATATTAAAAAAATAATTAAAATGGCTATGACATATATTTTTGCATTCCGAATAATTGCTTCTAATAGCATTTCTTAATAATTTTTTTATTTTTAATTATTAAAATTATTAAATTACTAAAATTGGGACTGTTAGGTGTACAGCAGACATACCTCTACTTTCATATAAAGCAGTTAATAATTAAAATAGAATTAACATAGGAACTTGCAAGATAATAACTGTCCAACGAATCAAGATTTCACTCGTCTATATACTGTTGATATATTTACATTTAAGCACGTCAATCCAAATGATATCTCATTTGAAGATGAAATAAAATTAAGAAATTGGTGTGCCTTTTGCCAATAGATGGGAAGAAAATATTTGCATCCAAAATTACGAAAAGCGTAATATGATGCAACACACATCTTCGCTACGGTTGTCACTGCAACTGTATCACTCCTGATTATACTCTATCAATTGCATCAGCTTGCAATTGCAATAACTATATACAATGCAACCATGACCCGCAATATGACCACAGCTATGGTTTAAAATCTTGGTTCTGGTTCCTCTAAACCATCCAAATATTAGCGTGATCAATCAATGGCAAAGGTTTAATTGATTTGTTGAAGTTGAGGGACAATCTTGGATCTGCTGCTGATTATATCTATTGAACCTCAGGTTGCTCTCCTCATGCATTGTAGCATTATACTCCACTACCTGCAAAGGCATTGTGTATTATTAGAACATTCGGCGGAGAAGCATAGTCCATTAAATTAATCATCTCACATTATTGTAAAATAACACGATATAATCATGTAAAAGAGAGAGACACAAATTTTATCAAGAGAACCTCCAATTAATTAATTAAAGAAGTCCTGATTTAATAAAAGTTGCGTCTTTCCCTTTTTATCATATATATATATATATATATATATATATATATATATATATATCATGTAATTAATTTATCAACAAGAGATGATCAAAATTTGGGGATGGATCCTCTGATTTGTAGCAGCACCTAATTGAGTTGCCACCATATTGTCAGTAGAAGAGCGGCAGTAGCTACTGTCATAGCCTTGGCTGACTTATCTCTGTGGGCATGGCCTACTGAGATGTCCACTGCAATTGGGAATTTCCCATTCCCTGATTTTATCGAACTGCAAAAGCAAAGAAAAAAAATGAACTGTGAAATCTCCACACAATCTTAATCTAGCATGCCCTAGAGGTTATTATACACGAACTGTCTCAATTTCAATGCTTCCTTCAACTTTAAAAACAAGTATGCGACAATAACATCTTCCGAGTTATATATTCAATCCTTCTTTTGTCCTCACTTAAAAGGCTAAAACACTTTTTCATTCTTCATGTAGCTATATTTGTAACGAATTTTTCTTAAAGAAAAAGAATTTATTTTCAGAATGAATCAATAATGTGAACAATATTTTCAGGCATAAATCAAAATCCCCATAAAATATAATTTTATAATGAATATATTTTTCAATCACTAACCTAAAAATTCCTGTATCATCACAGTATAATACTATACCAGATTAAAATGTTAATCATATAAAAGTGAAGTTGATATTCTCTATAAATTGAACTTGCAGTGTTGTAGATTAATCACCTTTTGGAGGGCGAGGGGCAGAAAGTGATGAGGTAATCCGCGGAGGCACAAGTGAAGGTGCTGGTGGCATCATCATAGGCGTAGCTATAAGCGCGTGGGCACGCGCTCTTGAACAACTGCGAGTAGGAGCTTGGCTTGCATGTCTGAGGTGTAGCGTATTCCCCACTGCAACAATACCGTGGATCCCCAAAAGCTTCACACGCGCTCTTGCACGCCACGCCCTCACCACCCGCCGCCATCTTCACCTTCAGTTCCGCCGGACACCCTCCATTCAAATCCGCCATGCACCCCGTCGCCGTGCAGTTCCCGCCGCCGCCGTGGGCCTCCACCGTCATGGCGAGGTTGTAGCCGTCAACCAGGCTCACGTCGTAGAAATCCAGTCCCCCCGCGCCGTTCAACGTGAACTCCGCCAGCGTCGCCGGCGGCAAGGCACCGCCACCTCTGCATTGCACGGCGGAGGATCCGCAGTCTCCGGTGGCGCAGGAAAATTTTCCGGCGGAGTCGGTGGAGCATAGCGTTCTACCCCACAGGCGACCGGACCAACCGGCCGGTACGGCGACGGCGTTGGACTCGCCCGGTTGCAGAGCAAAGCCTGTGGTGGCGAGTTGCGCCGTTCCGGCGCCGGATAAAATTCCCGGCCACACGGGGTAGCTGCATTTGTTTACGATTGTAAATGTCGCTGAATTTGAACCTGTACAAATGAAACGAGAACAAAGAATTATTGGTTAATATATATATAAAATTTTAAATTAGAGTTTCGACATGTACGTAGTATGCAGTTCATCATAATCATGTCTTTTAACATTAGTGTATGTAACACCGTTTTAAATTGCGGTTCATGATTGTTATATTACATTTTGAGAGCTTGGCAATTGGCAACATAATTGGGACCATAACCGCAATATAAAACGATTGTATATATATAATTCTATGGCATGATATAATGTATTTATGAACATATCACCTCTTAAAAAGTGGAAGATAAATAGGAAGATGAGAGTGGCAGAAATTTGAATTGAAGCAGTCATTGCTGAAAAATGGGAAACTATGTTAATGAAAACAAGTTTTGTGTAGGAAGAGAGGAAGGAAGGGAATATATAGAGAGATTAGCATTGGGGCCATGTGCAGTGTTGTTGGAGCATAGTATACGGCATGGGTCAGGTCCCACTTTAGCACTTGCACATGCATGCATAATCCTCATTGCTCATGCCCCTAAAGCTTTGTGTTTGCCGCACATTTCCTTATTTTCGTAACCTTCAGATCCGAAGAACCTTTATATAAAAACACACTCCATCGAACCTTTTTAATAAATCAAGAGGACACTATTAATTTACGAATACGATGTTATAGGAATTATAAATGAACCATGCAGAATGTCACGTTAGAATTATTAGAATCATTAAATTTACATTCATAAGTTTTAACGTGTGTCGGTGATTTTGAAACTATGATCGTGTTAGATAGCTAACATATAAGAACAAAGATTGTGGTCAACGTTAGGTCAGCTTACGAATACGATATTAATTCCAGATTTTATGTGAATTTTGTCCTTCTTGAATCTGTTTTGTAAGTTACTAAATCCCTTAGATCACATGCTCCCAACTATGAATGCCATGATCACATGCTCCCTACTATGAATGCCATAAACCCATACGCAATACAACTCATTTTGTACTAATTGATGCATTTTCTTTTTCCGAAACAGAATAATTTGTTTAAAAGTCTCTGTTTAAAAAATATGAGATGCCGTTTGTCTTCTAAAAGCAGCTTTCACTAAATTTTAAATCATGCACAGCAAAAAAATATTATATATATATTTTGAAATTATTTGTATTGATCATAATCAATTGTCAATTAATCGTAATTTCTAATTAATGTTGTTTTGTATCAGGAATATTGTTTTACGAATTTTGAAAGAGCGAGAAATGAAAATTTGTTTCACATATTCGGTGTCAAAGAAAAAAAAAATTGTACGTGAAAGTGCAGTGGGACCATAAAAGTCTTTGAAGAAAAAAAGTTTATGCATTGGTTACAAAGTTACCCAATCAAAATTCTTGAAGATAATTAATGAAAACTTCATGTATAATTACTTCATTAGTTTGTATCTGTAGAATAATTTTCTTATTAATAATCCTGCTAAGTCGTATGAAGTATTTACAGTATAAGGGGGAAACTAAGGGTATGCTTAGCAACTTTCGTAGATAAACTAGATGAAAATTAAAAGGGTACGAGATTGAACTATGTGTTAACCCACAAAGAAAACAAAAACTAGGTCAAAATTAAGCTTAGTTTAGTTCAAAGTTAACTCAAAACTCATCTTAATTTTCAAAAAATTTAACGAAATAATTTGAGCTTATATCATTGACTTTTGAATATAAATTAATAGTCTTTGTCACTTCATCTTACCTCAACTGTCATGTAAGCCTAATTTGAAATAACTTTTCGATAAATATCTATGAAAAAATAAAAAATAATATAAATCAATTTTTTTTTTGAATTAAAATCCTTTTACACTCTTCTATTTAAAAAAACCAATTAATTTCTCTAAAACATGAGACACATAAGTTAAATTTAACTTATAAAAAAATTATTTACTTTATTTTTTTCATCTTCTTTTCTTACGAATGCGTTTACAAAAACTTATCCAGATTGAGTCATAATCTAACTAAACAATATATTAAAGTGGAATAAAAAGTATTAAGAGAGAGCAAAAAAAGGAACTAAATGGAGTCTGGAAATTAAAAATATATATAGAATTTTAAAGTTTCAGTTTTATCTAAAATTCAGTTCACATAATAAGTTTTCTAAAACTTGCGTGATAATCAAACATTATTACGAATTTTTTTTTACGTATTGACACGTGTCCGTCTTCAATAAAAAAATTTCCAAGTGAGATAGGTTTTCTTCTATGAAAGACTCGTCAATAAGGGGAGATTAAGTGACTTATAAACAATCATCTTATTAAAATTTAACATAAGATTTGATATTAAAACTCATATCCATTTAGTGTTGGATACGATTTAAACATAAAATGTCAAAGATATTGTGGAGGGGAGGGGGCGCTTAGTGCAATAATTAAGATTTTGATGTGCATTGTAAAGAAAAAAATGATATAATAAAAGTTATAAATAGTCTGAATGATTCTAGTGGCCATAATTTGTGTCGGTGAGATGGTTAGGTTTAACATGATGTTCACTTGGCTAGTCCAATACGTATTAGAAATGACGCATATTAAAGGGTCGTAGTTAGGGATAGTAATCAATTCATTCAATTATAAAATAAAAAGCTTAACGAATGAATTGAAATGAATCATCATTTATTATTCAACAGATAAAAAAAATTTACAAAATTTATTCAATCTATTCGATTAACATCCTTAATTGTATATACTATATGTGACTTATCAATTTTCAAAAGAAAAAGAGAGAAGAGAAAAAACGTGCAAAGATTTGCCAAATTTTGGTACCATCCTAAGAAGTTAGAACGCAGCAAAAACTTATTTTAAAAGGTACGTACAAAAAGTTATTTTGAAAGGTAAACGGAAAATTAACTCCCCGTGACGTTGCCAATTATATTACTTAATGATATTTTATGGAGTGTGAAATTAAATAATTTAATCATTTTTTTTATCAAATAGAAATTTTTATATAAAATTCATACAAATTTAAGATGAATAAGTATTTTATTTCAATATATAATATTTTTTAAAATATAAATAAATATTAAATTTTAAATAACATACCTATAAACATTTAAATTATGTAAATTTTAATATATATAATCATAAAAATAATGAGATAATTTAATAGTTTAATTGATAAATCTTAATTTTATAAAATTTTATTACGTGGTTTAAATATTAAGTTTAACATCTCAACGGATCTGAATACACAAATCGCTGATGGGAGATGGTACTTGGACTATTTACTTAATATTTTTGAACAATGGATATGAGACCCTACCACGTGTGCCATTTCCAATACGTATAACACTATCTATGTAAGAAAAAACCCTAATGACCCGAACCTCTTGGAGCTGCCTTGGTTTTGCTCCCATTCTGCTAACACTTTACTGGATAGAGGTTCTGAATTCTCAAACCCAAAACGTCGTCCTCTTTCTTCGGGTACACCTCAATTCCAACCCTAAGGTGACACTGACTGCAAGTATTGCATGCAACTTTAATATTAATAATAATCTCCCACAAGAGAAGTGCCTTTTTCGACCAAAATCGGGAAAAACGAAAAAGTATTTACCAAAGATAATGTAATTTTGAAACATATTATCAATGTAAATAGTACAGTAGTCAGACTGCAAAACATCAAAGCAAAGAGTGCGACGCATGTCTTAGCATGAGACATGTTGCACCCTTTCAACAAGCGCCACATGTGTGTCTCTACCACATGACATTTACCCACTTATCCTGCATAATAAAAGTGCATAACAGGTTGCCCAAGCCGTGTCACAGGTTGCAAATGACTCCTATTTATGCATATTTGTACAATCAATAAGTCCAAGGTGGGCCTTTTAAATAGATGTGTTGTAGGTTGTATCATAACTTCAACCAACACTAGTTGAACCCCCGTGTTGTGTCGCCCTTTCTTCTGTTGTTTTACAGTCCAATTACTGTAACGTTTGCCCATATTAATATATTTTAAAACGACCTGGTAAATATTTTTTCTTTTTTTTTTATCTATTTTGATCGAAAAGCCAGGAAAGTACCGATAAATACTTTTTTATAACATTTTTTTCTATTCTAAATTTTATTAAAAATTACAAAAATATAAAAATTATTAAATTGCAAGTGCAATCCAAATAACTTTTAGAATTTTTAATAAATTAACCAATAATTAAAAATATATTTTTAAAAAATGGAAAATTTGGGAACATGGAATACAATCGACACGAGAGCTTTTATTGCTGGGTCTAGGTAGAGGAAGAGGAAGAAATTCAACAAATAAGAAATCTTATTGCTGGCTCCTAGCTACAATGTTATTTTCAGCATTTTTTAGATTTAGACTAGTCATTGGAACATTAAATAATAGTAATAATAATTAGGACTGAGAAAAATTTTGATTATAAAAGTTTAATCCATAACTAAATTTTTGATACACATGAAAATGGTTTTTAATCTACACTAGTGTTTTAAATTCATTTTCCAAAACCAAATTTTTGTTAGTTTACTAAGACTGGAGCCTACTCATGCAAAGGTGCAATATAGACTAGGTGACTAGTACATTTATACAAAAAGAATTTGTTATTTTGTTGACAAAATTTTACATCTAATATTTTTTTATTAACCTTAATCCTTATAATTAAGATTAAATATTTTAAAAAATATTTTTTAAAATATAATTATTATAATAAAAATATAAAACATAACAAATATTTTTTTTAAATTAATTATGATTGTTATCATTTTATTATTTAAATTTATTTAATATTATTACTATTTATTTTTATAAATTTTAATTTAAACTTTCATTTTCAACTCTAATTATTAAAAATTAGTTGAAAATAATAACAAATCTTTTATAAAATATAACATAATAAAAATTACTAAAATCTTTTTAAAATGCACTAATTTAATATTGTATACTGTATAAATGTATTTAGATCAATTTTTCCTTAAAACCTGGATTTAAAATTAGATTCAAAACTTATTTATTGTAAAATATTGGGTTTAAAATCAATTTCAACAAATTTTAAACCAATTTTTTTTTAAAAAAAAAAACTGTTTAAAATTTAATCCATTTAATTAAATTTAAAATGAATTTAAATTATTGTGTGAATCCAATCCACGCTCATCCATAATAACAAGGCTCAACTCAGCCCAACCAAAAAACAGTTTGGAATTTTCTCTATAACACTAAGAGTGACCATCCACCATGGTAGACATACATGAGAGAATTGGCTATATTTCCTTTCGGGCTTCTGAAACAAAGAACTACGAATAATATCGATGCTTTGCACCTTAGGGGTGTGTTCGTCACAATAGATTGCCAAGGCCACGACATCGACAGTATCAGTAGATTTTGCACAGATGGGACTAACTTGGACACAAGGCCAACCAAATGTAGGTAAAGCCTAAAACAATTACTAGAAAAGAATTAGGGTGTCAATTTTAATAGGTAAAGTAAATTCTATGTGAACAAACTTCCCCTGGAGGAACACGTCGACACCTAGGCAAGATTGAAAAAAAATTCCAGATTTAGATTTCAAAACAGGGGAATACTGTCTGAAACAAACTATATTAAGCCAGTTTGAAGTGGTGCAAAAATCCAAATCTAGTAATATGTTCATAAGAGCTGAATCATCATCTCACTACAGAAGCTCAAATGATTTCCTAGAACTTAACAGCCGTCTAGCTAAGCCATGGGCCACCAACATGTTCAGTGTGTTCCAGGGTATGATAGGTGTGCCCAAGCAACAGTCATCCCAGTGAGATTTATATTAAATACAGACATGAAGTGAAATAGAAGGCAAGCTTAAAAAGGTCACACAGGGTGGGAAATAAGTAGTAGATTTACAACTATGTGAATCTCCACTTCTCATGTTTCCATCACTCATCAGAAGGGGAATTTCCAGAGGACAAAACACAATCATTAATCTTCTTCCATGAACCTTTGTTCCCATTGTTTCAAGTCAAAATTCCAACTAATGTTCAAAAGAATCAATCAAGACCAAGTACACAAAGCATGCATCTTCAAAATCCACATGAATTCTGCTTACAACTTGCCCACTACAAAAAGCGGAACGAACACTCCACAATCTATCAAGAACTTCACTCTAATGAAATCCAATTTCCACATTAAGCTTAAAAACCATGATCACATGAACCTTTCAGACAATAAATCAAAATATAAAGTCTCAACAATTTTGTAGCGAGAAAGGCAGAGACTATTAACCAGAAACAAGGTCTATCAGGCTGTAATAACTAATTAAAGGAACCACAAGAGAAGGCAAAATTGCCTGCGAAGCAGTAACATGGTGAAAAAAAAGAAAGAAACCAAAACCACAATCTTTGCCATATGTATAAACTTCCCCGAAATTAGAAGAATAAGAGAGACTAACAAGTTAATAATAACTGTTAAAAGGTGCAAAAAAGAGAATATGTACTATTCCACCTTTTTTCCCTTCGCAAAACGTAACCCTCTTCACTTCACTTCACCCAGAGGCTTCAACGCACTCCCTCGCAAAATGCCCAGGCTTCCCACAATTAAAGCACGTGCTTTTTCCAGCATTAGCACCCCCGCCACTGTTACCACCACCATACCTCCCACCATCAATGCTGCAATCCCTAGCCAAGTGACCAACCTCTCCGCAACGAAAGCAACCGCCACCAGCACCGCCGCCACCAGAGCTACCACCCTTCGCAGTGGCGCAATCCCTCGCCATGTGTCCATATCCGCCACACCGAAAGCAAGATCCGCTTCCGCCGCCGGCGCTACCGCCTCCGGTATTGCTTCCGCGCACGCAATCCCTCGCGAGGTGGCCAAACCCGCCGCAATTGAAACATGCGCCGCCACCCCCACCGCCGGAATTGTTGCTCCGGTTGCAATCCCTAGCGAGATGGCCGAAATCACCGCACTGGTAACAGGCGGCTCCGCCGCCAGAGCCATTGCGCCTGGCGCCGAATCCGTAGCCGGAGGAGCGATTTCCGGCGGCGTTGCGGGAGTGGAGAGGGGCGCCGTCGACGCCGGTAACGTCGACGGCTTTGGTCTTGTCGTTATCGCCGGTGGCGATAGAGAACTCGACGCGATCGCCTTCTAGCAGGGTGCGGTAGCCGTCGGATCTGATTGAGGATTGGTGAACGAAGAGGTCCTCGCCGCCATCGTCGGGTTTGATGAAGCCAAAGCCTTTGCCATTGTTGAACCACTGCACGACGCCAGTGAATCTCTCTTCAGCCATGGATTCGGTTCGATTTGGAAACCAACGAACAAACCCTAGAGAAAAGCTACCGTGTGGGATGGGAATGCAACAACGCAGCACTCAACAGCTTCTCTATATTTATATTCAAAGGTAAAATGCAATTTCAAGGGATCCGCAGATCAAATCTAACCCTACTTATTATTCTTATTCACAAAAACACGCTAGATTACTTTCATATATCAATTTTTTTATATTATTTTTTTAAAAGTATATTAACTAAAAATATTTTTAAATATTATATTTTAATCAATATCAATATAAATTCATAATTTAAATGTTTTCACAATTTTATATTTTGAATTTTTCTAATTTGATAATTAAATATAATAACTTTTTATTATTAATAATTAAATATTAGTTTATTCTAAATATTGAAATACTTATAAAATATTTTTAAAAATTTTTATAAAAATATTTTAATTTTTTAATTGTTGTGAAATGTACAAAAAAAAATGTACATTAAAGGTATTTATATCATTCATAATTAAAAGAAATTGTATTATTATAATTATAATTTGTGAAATGTTTATTCTAAATATATATATATTTAAAAAATAATAAATTTTTATTAAAAATTTCATAATTATATATATTTTTATTCATAATTCTTAAATTAAAATATTTTTAAAAATAATAATTATAAACAAAGCAATTTTAAGTATTATTATTTTTCTCAATTTTATTTCAACCTTCATTTAAATTTATATTTTTTTAATATACGTTTTATTTAGAAAACTTTACTTCAATTATTTTTATTTTACAGAATACGATATTATATATATATATATATATATATATATTAAAACTTTTGTATAATATTAATCTTTTAATTTTTTTTTCTATCATTTGATATTTTATTTGTTTAAATGCATCTTTGGAAATATAATAAAAGTTTTAATTATAAATTTAATGCACAAATTATACTTAGCAACATTAAAATAAATGTGAATTCATATCCTTTTGAACATTAAGTCAAGCATGTTATTAATAATTAAATTGGTACTTGATAAATTTTAATAATGACACTAATAATAACGATGATGTTAGTTATTGTGACAGTTTCAATAGTTAGTGGTAGTAATTATGTCAATAATAAATTTATAATTGCAGATATAATAATTAATAATAATTATGACAACACAAATTGAGATAGTAGTAATGGAAGGAGAATGAGTTGATTAACTTAATAAATATAAATTCAAAAATAAATTACCAAAAGCATATAAAATATAAATAATTTGTATATGTGATTGTTTAAATTGACATATTCATTAATTTTGTATATTCAATTAACAAAATTAAAAGAAAATACAAGTTTTGTCACTCAAACTTGTAAAATTTAAATAAAATATATATGTAATTTAAGTTTCATTATTTTAAGTAATGAAAGTTATTTTTTACAAAATTTAATTATTTTTTTGTTTTTATAAAAATAGTACTCTTTGACATCAATTCTTATAAATTTGTTAGGATTTAGTGACATTTTTAAAATATTTGAAATTAATTCTTATCTTTAACTAAGTTATGTTACGTGAAAAGTTGTATAATAAAAGTTTAACTCATCACTTTCATGTTATTATTTTTTTAATATTTTATTATGTAAAAATTAATGTTTATAAAAAAATTATTTATAACCTCATTTTTCATTATCTTCTTCTTTAACACTACATTACACACAAAACTTAGTGCTTCACTTTCTCTTACACACGAGGGGTGAAGAAACACCCCAAACTTGAACAAACATTCAAGAACTAAGAGCAAATTACCATAGGCAATGGAGTCTCCTTCATCTTTTTACTCTTGCTCCATCTTCTTTCCGTGTGCATCAAACAACACTGTTTTCTACTCTATATACCATCACTTGACCACCACCATAACAACTACCACCTTCTAATACCTTCACTTGGAAATTCTCAAAACAATGTCACCCTTCAACAATGATACTGATCCTTCATTCTTTCCATATCTACTCCTATAAACCCCTCCTGCCAATACCCTACCTCCTTCAAGCTCCATCACCTCCGTTATAGTGACAACTTCATCAACGAATGGTTCATTATCTTCCTCCTCATCAAAACTGCATTCCATCTTCTTTCTCAGCTCAACCTAATACCTCTCGCATATTTTTGCGCTCTAGTAACCTCCACATCATCCCTAAAACCCTCACTTTTTATTTTTCCTCCTTGATTCTCTCCAATTAATCACAAATTCCTTGTCTCAATCTCTTGCCTTTAACCCTATCCAATATGTCCTTAAGAATTGCATCAAGGATTACCTCGAATAGACGTTATTTAGTTCCATTTCTTAATCCAGATTACCTCAAGATTTAAACACTATAGCACTTGGCATTGGCGCTTATTCCTCTTTTTTGTAGTAGGTTTTTCTTATCAAAGACAAATTCTATTCCTCTTTTTTGTAGTAGGTTTTTCTTATCAAAGACAAATTCTGTTGATTCTTCTTTTTATTCCCAACATGGTTCAATTTTGACACTTAATGTGCCTCCTCGCATCAAGTTTAAGCAATTGGATAAAACTGCAAGATGTAACATCCTCTTTTCACTCTTCGGTAATTTATGTTTTCTCTAATATTAAGTAGTATTAGAATATAATTATATGTAAGTTTGGAGGATTTTTAGAAGAGTTTTGGTGTAGGAGATCTCGTTCAGGCGAGGTAAATCTCGCCCAGGTAAGATTAAGCGTGCAAGAATACAAAGTTGCAAAGTTATCTCACTCTAGCGAGATGATTCTAACTCAAGCGAGATAAGATAAATGTTGCTCAACTGTCACCTCGTCCAGGCGAGAGTGATCTCGCTCAAGTGAGTTGAGGATCTCAATCAGGCAAGATGGGTCGCTCAGGCGAGGATCCATAAGAAAAAATAGCATGTTCTCTGGACATCATCTCGCTCAGGCAAGATGGAGCTCGCACATGCGAGCATATCAAAAAAATTATTGGTGAGACTATTGTCTGCATATCTCGCTTAGGTGACAGAGCCGCTACTCAAGCGAGATGTTGTCGCTTAAGCGAGCTGTCCCTTGCTCAAGCGAAAATGCGTGGGGCTGAGGAGTATTTAAGAGATTTTCTGCATGAGAAATTCATTTTATTTCAAACTCAAGTCCTTCTCTCAAACTTTCTCTTAACTCTCTCTTTCTTTTACCTAGATTAAAGCCTCAGAAACTCTATTTTCTCTTAAAGTTGAACTTCGGCATTGAAGTTAAGCAATTCCAAGTAAGTTTCTTCATATTAAACTTGAATTTCTCTAATCATTTTTCATGTTTTTGTTCTTATTGATATCTCTTGATACTCAGGAGAACTTCCATCCATGAACCTTGATCTTTTTCAATATTTCTCCTTGAGCTCATCTTCGAGGTAAGGAGAGCTCTATTTTATCGTTATCATATAATATTTAAGTTATGCTCATAGAGCACTGTTATGTGAATATGGTATGAAAATAGATGATTGAGATACTTATTGTGTGGAGTATGAATGAAAATATATTTGTTTGATTGTTTAGACTGATTGATTGGAAATTGTTGAGTGATTTTGTGTGATTTTATGAAATATATTTGAGTAAAACGATATAAGGCAATGATGTTGATATCAAATGATTTACGGTTGAAATTGTATCAATAAATGTATGCGTGGAATGGACTTAGTTTGGAAGTGCTTTACTAAGCACGATCTTAGGAATGAGAAAGAGAATAACTCTGAAAATCATTCTAAGAGTCAGATTTGGATTAGATCTAGTGTGAATAGTTACAGAGATACACTACGAGTGTAGAGTTTGGAGACGATGAGAATCTGGGGAAAATGTAAGGTGGTGAGCGACATTTGCGTATGTGTACATACTCTTTCTGAGAGCGAATGCGTCACATAGCCTCACACTCATTTCCTGACTAGACTCCTGACTTTGCCTTTGCTAAGGGGCCCGATCATTGTACATGTTGTATCTGTATGCATGGGCTAACCAATGACTATTTACCCAGTTGAGTAAGACCTCGAGAAGTGCTGGAGGCATCGGTATCTGTGATCACATTGCATTGGGAGTGTGTGTTGGAATAAGAGAAAGGAAAATTGATAATAAAATGTTGATTGTTATTTGTGATGTAAATATGTTTGTGAATATGAATTTATGAAATTGAATGTATTGTATTTATGTTAAAATTATGATTTTATGCTAAATGTTTGCAAAGGGATAGAATAAACGCTCATCCTTACTAATAATTTCAGAGAATCAGGATGACGGAGCTTCAAGGAAGGATTAGATTATAGATAGTTCTGTACATTTTAGGTTAAATTATGTGTTTAATGAGTATTAGAAAGTGAATTATTTTAAATTTGTTGTACTGGTAGAAGATAAACCTAGGGTTTTTGTTATGATAGAGATGAATTTTTCTTGTAGTTTCCCTTTTGACTTCCCTAGGAGTAGAATACACTAGACTTTGTATGTACATATGTACAAAGGTACAATTAGGACCCCAACAACCCTTACTTTTGTGTATATATGTACAGAGGTACATTTAGGACCTCAACAGCCCTTACTTATCTTTTCACCAATCACAACCACAACTATCTTGGAAGAACGTCAAGATGGACCTTCGAGCACGTTACTAGCACAGAGGTTAGAGCATATTTGGGTGATGGTTATCTAGGTCCAGATGATGATATAGACTCAAAGGATCTGGCTAAGATAAAGAGCTGGCACAAGGATGATAAATAGGACTGGCCTTCATTGTTGGATTATGTTGAGACTGCTCTGGGACTTATATTTATGTATGTAATGTGAATATTTTGGTGATGTAAATATTATTTTAAGTCCTATTTATTTTGACAAATAGTTTATAAATTATTACACTTGATCTATGGAATGCATGTTTATTTTTTTTAACATAAATTTTGAGTATGTTTAATATAGAATTACAATTCTTGTTATACCAGTAATATTAATATGAATGAAAATATTTATATAAATTACTATAAAAAGAAAAAGATTTTAGCAATTAGTTATAATAAAGTCCATTATACATGAACTTCATATTTTACAACA